TTCAGGAAACAAATTGACAAACTTTATATATGTCGAAAGCAGTAATGCTCGGGTCATAGGAGAACACAAGTGATACTGCACAAAAGAGAGAGCAGATTTGTCATATATATATATTGTATATATATACTTTTTTTTCATAATAATATATGTTTTATTTGTTAAAAATTAGACAAACGCTTACTTTGGAATGTAAGAGCTGGAACTGGACAGCTGGAGAAGACCGCAAGTCACCAGCAATGAGATTGCCGAATTCTCCAAGTATATAACCACCGACTTTAACCATATTTTCGTGACAAGCTGGCGCTTGTAATGCCTACGATAATATACATGACATAAAGTGGTTCGAATTTTAAACAAAAGAAAAAAAAATGATATATTTTACCTCAAAGACTGTCTTTGCAGCATAACCCTGAACATCGTCTCGATTAATAACGATTTGGATAACACGATACCAAACTTCCTCAGAGACATAATCGCCTGCTATCCTAATTAAGTTTAGAATAACGTCGACGTACCAAGTGTAATCAGTTGCATATTTTTCAGCTAGAATCGCTACCTTTAGGACCATCTCCTCTCTAATCGAATAGTCGGCCGTTTCTAAATAATTTAGCATTTCCTGAACTATTTCTTCGGCATTACTTTTATCACACATGGCATACAATAGATCTACCGCCTGTTGTCTCACAGAAACATCCTTTTCCATTTTCATCGATAATATGACGACTTCTTGATGTTTCTTTACGGCTTCATGTGAAAATTCCGAGGTAGCCAAATGGCACATAGACTCGAGTGCCAAATATCGCAAATTAGTCTCGCGATTCGATAAAAATTGTCCGAGTTGGTTGCACGCCCGTACTAGAAGATTCGGCTCACTGTCGTTGTGAATAATTAAACTAATGGCCTCAAAGAGTACAGCATTTTTCGCGTTTGAATGCTGGACCTTTTTCGACTTTGGTGGTTCTTGAGCTTTGTTTAATATTGTTTCTAGACACTCATTTAATCTGCCCCTCACACCTGGATCTTCAGCTGCGGCAATATAAATATAGATATACTATGCAAAATCTATTACATTTCCAAATACAATGTATCCACATGTAAATTAAGTACCTGGTGGTGTATAGTTTTGTAGCAAACGTAGTAACTTGACAGATAACCATGGGGCTGGTACAAAATAATATGTGTAATCCTGTAGATCCGTGTAACTTGACGTAACAATCTACAATTGTAAAAGAAATATAAGAGAGATGTATAATATTCTCATTTTTATACACGGATCAATCAAACTTTAACAACGTACTCTACTCAATCTCGAAACTGCGAGACTAACACAGCCTTTGTATTCGTCTGGATTTCTTTTTACGAGAGCATCTATAAGCGATGCCGCGGCGGTTACAACACCAAGATGTTGATCATTTAACAGATGAACTATGCGCGACGTCCATTCACCGCCAGGTACGACATCAGGCGCGGTGCGTAGTAACCGTAACAGACATAATGCAGCACTTTGTTTCACAACGTCCATAGTATCTCTAGAGAAAATAAATATTACTTTTAAAAAGACTGAGTGACAATCCAATATATTTAATAACTATAAATATAATTGTTTGATTAATATGAACTTTGTATAACGATGTATAAATATACTACGTCATACCCTGAAACAAGTAGTTTTGGAATTTCATTGCCAAAGGCTTCCGCCATTTCCTTGCTACCAATATTGGCAATACATTGCAATGCCAAGTTGACGTGAATCGGATTGCGCGAGCCGAGATCATTCTTTATACTTTGTATAATTAATTTGATCAAATCACTGTTGGTATTGACCAAGACTGATATAAAGAGGTAACCCTAGAATTGAATAATTTTATATCGTTATGCACACACATCACGGACAGGAAAAATTATATACTTACAATCTGTTTTTCCGAATATTTATTTGATGAAAGTAAATTAACAGCTTCCATATGTCCAAAGTCAATGTCATGACCAAGAAGGAAAATGAATAGCAGCTTGCAAACATATTTCTTTTTTTGGTATCCATCCAGAGTTTTATCTCCTTTAAACTTACTGCGAATGTTTGCTAGTTCCTTATTAATTCTTTTAATTTCCGCTTCTTTACTTTTACCTGGTAATATTGATATATTATTCAAAAAAGAGGAAAGATATTTTCTACAGTTTATCTTTAAAAAATGAGATTGCAAAATTATAGTTATTAATGGAAAAGCACACTTTAAAATAAAATATATATAAAGAGAAGATACAATTTTCTCTCTCTTTCTTTTTTCATATATATTTTATTATATTTTTATGCAAATATTGATCAGCAGTAATATATCGATAGAAATATCTGATAGAAGAATCAATGGCACGGCGCCAACTGGCTTACTCCAAGAACAATCCTTTTATCTATATACATTACTATACAATACATATTTCAAAATTGCCAGACATAAAGATGATTGAAATAAATAAATCATGTGTATAAATATAAACTATAATTGTGCTTGTACTTAATAAATATATGGGAAAAACTAGCATATGTTTTTTTAAGTAAATCTTTAGTTATAACGATGCCAATGTGTCACAGATTGATATTTGAGAGTCAAGCTCTATCAGGAAGATAGGCGTATATCAGAACTCCGCCCCCTTTCTCCTGCTCATCTCACTGACACTTTGTTATTTCAATGCCACGCTATCGCTCAATGAATGACATTCCGCTAATAGTTTGATATAAATGACACTAATATATATTTACAGGAAGCATAATTGACAACGATCGAATGGAATAACTTATTTCAATTGCAAATCGCGCATCATAAAAGTTACATTATAGAAGATGTTCGATCGATTCAAGAGCATAAATTACAGCAATAAAGTACTTACAATTTCTGATATCCGATATAAACACCGCCAATCCACGCATACCATCTCCTCTAACGGCCGGCATTCTGCCTCGCTTGTTTAAAACTACCTGTGAATGAAATCGAGCTATAAAGATACTAAACGTTTCGTCCCCTCCAATCTGTGACGTGCACACGCTTCAACGTAAATATACTGTAATTGGTATTTGTTTCGCGCACTAACAATAAGAATAGCATGACGCAACGGATTAACGAGACGCGTGGTCACTCTTATCGTATCTTCCTACACGCCCATCGCAACTATTTTTTTCGTCCTTTCCTCGAGATGTATTATCGGGAAGTGCGCCATCCGGGACGGAGTGAAAATCGACCGCTCGGTGGACTGCTTGGCGTTCGCGAAAATTGTGCACGAGTCGACGACGATCGACCGACGTGATCGCGACACGAAAAACTTCATCGGAGCCGGCGCGGACTGCATCGAATGCCGACGATGATCTTTGACAGCGGCGCGCACCCGGAGCGATATCTCTCTCTTTCTCGAAAGAGAAAGAGAGAGAGATAGAGAGAGAGAACGAGAGGAAGAGAGAGGGAGAGAGAGAGAGAGAGAGAGAGATATATAGAGAGAGAGCTCGGTACGCGCGATCGTCGAAATCGGCGAGCTCGACGATCGGGAAGCGGAACGCGGGACGATCGTATCGATCGATCGGAGCGTTTCCGAGAAGAGACCGAGGAAAACGAGTGCGCCGTTTTCCGTCCTCTCTCGGAGAGCTGTCGTTGAAAAGGTCGCGTCGCCGGATCTTACCGTCCCGCGAAATTCGCTCGGTATCGCGAAATCTTCGCCTCTAGAGTCGGCCTCGTCTACGTACCGGTCTGGGCTGGGGGGTTGTGCGTTCGCGCACGTCTCGGTCGCGGGGCGCACGGTAGGCGTGGAACTATTCGCGGACCCGTGCCAGAGACTTCGTGGCTGTCGCCATTTGCAACCGTCGACTGGGTCTGACGGACGACGGGCTCTACCCGTCGAAATGCCAGCGCGCATGCGTCGTCCGCGCTGGCGCGTGGAATTTCGTATTTTGAACGCGCTTTATTGCTACGGTCGATTGATCGCCGCGAAAGGGATGTGGGGGTGTCTCTACTCATCCGTCGCTAAATTTCATCGAGTCTCTACGAAAGGTGCGCGACGAAGGGAACTCGTAGAAATTTGTTTTCCGACATTTCCATCGCTTGAAAGGAGTATAGGTACGGATTTTCAATTTGTCGGAAATAAGCCGGAGATCTGCTTCTTCCTCCTCACATTTTCTTACGATTAAGATTAAAGGAGAAAGTATCTCTTATTTTTCGTTCAATTTATTCTGCGAGATTAGTTGAAGTTATTATCTTGAGGCGCGAGAAAAATTTTACAACTTATCGAGAAGATTGAAAAATTTGTATCTTGAACTCGACGGTTGATTGATTATCATTATTACAATTAATAATTATAGTGATTTCGACGGTGAGTCGCGTTTTAATCCGTTTCATTAAAATATTGTGAAACTATTTCCCACATTCCAGTTTGCAATCAGGTACGGTTATAATATGAAAAATATGTAAAATGTTAATAGAAAGAAAAATTGTACGAATTTGTCTGACTCAAATCGTAAATATTTGAAACTGAACATTAATTTCAATGCGTCAAAGTTTAAATGGACAACGTGTCATTTTATTTATAATTTCAACTCGAATATTTTAGTAGTATCTGAATTTTAAACTTTTATCATCAAGAGTCATTTTATTCAGATTTCATACTAATATTTGAAAAGATGCAATGTAAAATGGCGTCGAAAATTGGCCAAGCCAAATGATGAAAAATGTATCGCTGAAATAAAGTACAAGATTACTGAACAAATATTTAACAGGGTTGTGTAAAACAAAAATTGTCTCATTAGAAGTAATTTATTTCGATATAAACTAATAAAAATTAATAAAAAAATCTTAATAATATAATAAATGTGAAAACTTTTGTCAACATGCAAGTTTATATATCTGAAAAAAAGATATCCTATGCAAAATTCTCTTCAATTGAAAATCAACCTTCCTTAATAAAAATTTAATGAGCTTCAAACAGCTACTAAGATATCCTATATATATAAAGTATATGCAGAAATAAAAACATTCTATTATTCTTCTAGATATATATTATGTTGCAATGTACAATATGCTTTTTTCTTATTCACTATGATTTAATCAATTTAGCTAGATATAAGTAATAAATTTCAACAGTAAGAAATTATATATTACGTTAAACTTTGCTGTATCTTTTCGAGCAACATTTCTATTCTGCCTCTCATAACAGGTTGTCCTTTCTTTGTCTTTTTTGATAACATCTTAAAATTATGCAATTTCTTCTCCTTGTATTTTTTCAAGGCTTCCTCTCGTTCTGCTTTTACACGAATCATATCCTGTATCCTTTTCTTCTTCTCTTCTTGTTTGCGCTTATATTCCTGTTTGGCCTTGTAAAAGGCGTAGCTCTTACTTTTTGAGTTGCTGTTTATAGATATAAATAGTTATAAATGTTGAATCGATATCAAAATTTACATCAAACTTTAAATTGATTTTGACATGTTATACATATATACCTCATCTCATTCGTATTCTTGGATGCACAATTTGATGATATTTGTGAAGAAGTCTGCTGATCCCTTTTGAGTTCCTTGTAATATTCACGTAACACAGCTTTCTTCCTCCTTTCTTCCCATTGATTAACTAATGCAAAAAGATAAATGTAAAAGAAACAATAAATTAACCTATTTGATATATATGTCGGATACATACTTTTATATTTATTGCTATATTTTTGTAATCTGTATTTTTTCTTGTCAAATTTCTTTTGTTTCCCATTTTCGTGATCTTCCTTTCCTTCGGATCTTTTATTTTTAATATTTTTCATGTTATCTTTTTTGTGTACAAATCACGGTAAACGAAGCATCCAACCATGTGGCTTATCGACATTTAAATTGTACATTAACGCCCTCGTAAGTTTTGTGACTAAAATACAAAGTAGTTACACAAATATTTTATGGTAACAGAAAAATACAGTTCTCTATATTATCCAAAGAGACAAAGAGATGTATCAATTTATACAATCGATTCTCTTATTTACGGCCACTTGTCATCGCGTTACGTATAAATTTATTTGCGGTAGTGACATTGATAATTGATTTATAGATGAGTAATTCGCATTAGATCAGAAGCTAAATAGCAACGTGATGTCCCTATGTATTATTCCACATATTTTATTCATGGTGCACAATTTCATAATATCATGATCATATATTGTGGTTACATTCGAAAGTTTGGAAAATTTTAAAAAAATTGAATGAAATATGTATTTTATAAAATTTTATTTTTAATATTTTCTATAATTTCTCTCGCTCTCTCTTTCTCTCTCTCGTAACATCCGCGTTGCTAAATTAATTTCTATCTTTGTATTTCTCATTTCAGGATTAATGGGCCCCATTTACGAGAGATTGAACAATTATTCATAGCCCGATACACATACATAGTCGAGGAAAACAAGTAAACTGACGTCGTCGAAAGGATAGTAGCTCTTTGGTATGTGCTACCGAGTTATTATTAGCTGACAAAATCCGAGACAGCTATAGTATTCGAGGCCAGATCCGCTCGAAGGAGATTCTTCGAGCGTTCGATTATTTCGATCGCAGTTCCTTCACGATTCAATGTCGAGGATACGATCGAGAAATAGATTGGCAATTTCCGTACTTATAATTGACGAAATAAAATTATATAAATGCATTCGTATAATATTTTAATTAAATCTTTGATTAATAATGTCAGTTATGAACAAAAATGTTATCCTTATAAAAATAGACTTTATATCGTATCTTTTAAATTTTAATTACATGGATGTAGCGAGCAATCTTTGGGACGACCTACAAATGTCGAGAGGTCATCACCGGTCATATATAATGACACCGCGTTACAAACCAGTATGAGCTTGAGGTTAACGTGCGCCGTGGCGTCATTCAATGACATCATGTAATCAGACCCATGGTCAGACCGACGTACGTATTAAACTTTGAGATGTCATTTTTTATAAAGTAATTAATATAAATTGTAGAAATTTTATTAAATTACTTCTTGTCTAAAATGATGATATTCAAGATCAATTCATAGATGATTTTCAATTTTGAATCATTGATGATTTTTATGTAAATATCTGCAGAGGAAATGTAACGTTAACTGGTTTGATAAAATATATTAATATACTCGCAATATATAAGTTTGTGATATAATCTAGCTGCGATTAAAATGTATTCGCGTATGTAAGACGCCGGATAAAAATATTTCTTTATTAGAATTAAAAAGTCAAAGGCATATAAAAATTGTAGAATAAAACTCTATTTTAGATGATTTAAGATCCGTGACATTTTGACGCGTGATAAAATTTTCGTAATAATTTCTTTATATACGTTATATGTCAGGATTCTACACAGTTATCGAAAAGATCGATTGAAAAAACGTTTAATTATGCGCGGTGACCTTATCTTCGATCCATATTAGGACACCTTTTATCGATCGGCGAAACCCTCACGGAGATGACGTCACATACGCTAGTCACACACTCGGGTCGGGTCTCGTTTCAGAAATGAGAGAGGAAGTCGGTAGTCTTGTAAAAAATCTTGTCGCACTGTCTGGAAATATAAGGAACGAACCGACATTGACACACTTTGGCATCAACCTCGATAATCTCGTTGGTCGTGATCTGCATATTTTATCCTTTTATTGCTGTACGCGCTTTATAAGATGACGTATATTTTCCGTTATGCATAATGCTTAAATAAGCGATTAAATAAGCGATTTAGAAAAATAATTTAGGATTTAGAACATTTAGAAATGATATTGAGAGCTAATATCGATTGCACGAATTTTTTTAGAGATCCACGTTATTTAAAACTACCTTTTTATTTAAATTTGTATCATGAATGAACCTTTAATTATAATAATCATTTTTCGCTTTCAATACAATCTTAATTTTACTTTCCTCTCTCCTGCCAAATTTAGAATTAACAAATACATTTGTGTGACCAATTGTTCCTTTGATTCAGTCAATTAGTTTGACATGAGGAGGTGCTTTTTGATGTTCTGATTCACGTGAACGTATCCTTGGAGAATGTTAGGTCTGTATATGAAAAATAAGGGGGCGTAGAGAGTGACGTGCAGTTCCATTCAGTCAAACACAACTCGTGACGACGTAAAGCGCCGAAATAGCGTCAGCATCACTCATACGACTCAGTTTCACAATACCGTAAAAGAATTCTCTCGTGACGACGTAAACATTCTTTTAACATTCCCGACTCGTTGACGCATCTCGATGCCAATTTTTGGCAGACGCGATACAAGAAGAATCCGTTTTCAATTTTACACATTCTTGCCGATTAGTTGAAAGACGTATAATCGACTCGAAATCATATTTTTCATAATTGATTACGCAAATTTATCTGACATGAACGTTATAAAACAATATTATTGTAGGCTGACAATTAGATTATCATATTTATTTCTAAATTTATCTCTAAAAATAGCAATATATAATTTTATATTGTGAGAAATTCCAACAATATTATATCTCTTAACTTTTCTTAATTAAAATTCTTATTTATAGTTATTACAGGAGTTTATGAATAGATTATCACGTCAATTTCTCGTTAATCCTGCAATGAGCATTATTGACTTAAGAGACCTTTTAATTCGACATATAGTCTAATTAATCAATAAGCACCGTAAAAATCATATCATCAGTCATTGTATCTCGTTAAACTCTTGTCTTACGTCATCTCTAGACTGTTTTATTTCTAATTTAGTTTTCTCAAGTTCATTCCAGACCGAAACAGATGACAGAGAATTTAATTCCATCTTAAATATATAATATTATATATATATATTTCAATATAAAAAATATAATAATAGATATTTGAAAGATAATTATAGTAAAAATTTTTTTAAATTTTCTCTGTCTTCTATAAATAATTCCATCGAATCATGTCTGTAGGAATTTACGAGATTGTTCTTTCGCGGGGGTTGTTTATAAGGAAACGATCGCGCAAGTTTATTAGTCATACTTTGTTGCGCGGGCAATGATAATTCGTTTTGTGTCTTTTCCAACATCGCCCACGCGCAATCTCTACATGAACAAAATTTTAAGAACGAGATCCCGTTTTCATTTAACACATTATTTGTTTTAATATGAGAATAACTTAAATCACAATCTATAGGAAAATTAATTCATTAATCTCAAGTATTAGTAGATAATAATATATTTTTAATTTTATAATTAATCTGGGATGTAAAATATTTTATCATCTTTTTTTCCTTTTCTCTTCAAGAGAGATGACCAAAGAATTTGTCATTAATTCGCGCGTAATCAAATATGTCATTCAATTATTCGCCACAATTATTTTAAATAATTTAAAGTCGATTCTCTCTCTCAAGTGTTTGGGAAACAAAGGTATGTGGAATATATCGCTCATAGAGCGCGACATCCATAAATGGCAAAACAACGCGCTCTTTTTCAGCCTACGCAAAACGTAGGCGGCGGCGCGGCCTTATTCCGTCTCTTCGATTCGTTAACGACGTTTTCGGAGATTGATTAAAAATTAATAGTAACAATTATCGTAGCACGAGCGCATCGTGTTAATTTTCCAAATGCGCTACGCGAACCAACGACCGCGTGCGTCGTCGCGAGAGGAGCCGAGGGCGGTCAAACTCTCGCGAGCGCCCTCGTCGGCGTCGCCGGCTATTTAAGGGGCTGCCGGCGACTCGCGTTCATTCCTCAGGCGGGACGAGTCACGCGCGCACGACGTTGCGGTAGTCGCGATCGAATTGCGTTTCATTGAGCGCGGATCCTTCGTTTAGTGTTTGACAGTGACAAGAGACAAGAGTGTGATACTTGGGCGAAACATGGCTGACAGTGGTATCAAGCGCAACATTCCCATCAAGCTCGGCGACTTCAGCGTCATCGACACCGAGTTCTCCAACATACGCGAACGCTTCGATGCCGAGATGAGAAAGATGGAGGACGAGATGTCGCGGTTCCGCAGCGAGCTGATGAACCGCGAGAGCAACAACTTCTTCAAGAGCACCACCAGGTACGCGTATAAAAAGTCGCCAATTCTTTCGCGATAACCCCTAACCTCTATTTCGAAAGGTCGCGGTGGTTGTTTTTTATATTTATTTCTCTCTCTATCTCTCTTTCTCGCGTGCTCTCTCCCGTCCGCTGCAATTTAGACAAAAATAAATTACGCGATATCTTATTCAATTCTGCCAAGGATTTCTTTCTGGTGCGACGTATACCAATTTTGAGCTATTCAATGTTTTTACGACGTTCGATGTAAACAAAACCATGTTTACGCGCGCAGGCTGGCATATGTATTGCGTATATCGAGGTCACGTAACTCGAGAAAATTACGCGAATAAAATATATTATACATCGATATAGAGAAAGAGAGGAAGAGAAGAATCGATCTTATGTCACGACTGAATAATACGGTTGACATTGGAAGTATTGATTTTTCCAAAACACGAACAATATTTAATTTATTATCGTAGCTACGACGAAAAATTAGAAAGAAAAAAGAAAAAACTTGAAAGCGATCTTTGTTTCAGTATTATATGTTTTCGTTTATATAAATTTTTTATTATTTGCGCTCGATTGTATTCATATGCGACAGGTTTTACGTACGCTTTGTAACTTTGACGTAGTTTGAGCGATTCTATTTTCGTCGGTCATTCGGCTACGTATGTCGTGCATTGAAATCCAATGATTACTAACGGTTTCCGACAGAGCATACATGTCAATTTGTAATTTATTTCAAACAAATCTTTCTTTTCCTGTCCTTCCTACAATGTGAAGATTTACGAAGGTTTCTCCTGATTGCTCATATTATTAAGTTCCATTTTTAGAGAAAATCGCTCATCCACCGATCGATCGTAAGTGTTCTTGTAGAAAAATAAATTAATTTGTTGAAGCAATGATTTATAAATATAAGAATATTATAACTTATATCTTATTAAAGAAAACATAAATATATTAAAATATTTGATTTATATTTTCATACCACTAAATATTAAAAAATAAATCTCTCTGCATTAATAAAAAAAAGAGTGATGCAAATATGGATGTTTTATCGCGTTAAAAGATTTGACATAAAATAATTTATTACAATAAATTTACGTCATGACTTATTATAAATCTTACTAGAAATAGAACTTATTACATTTCAATCTCATACATGCATTAATATTCCAATTACACAATATTAATAATAGCAATAATAGCATATGCATGTTATGACAATATTGAATATTATAAATTAAATAGATATACGGATATTATATTAGATATAATGACAGCAGGATAATTTATTATTATATTATTATATTATTATTTTTTTATATATGTATTACCGAGTAAAATATTATCAGCACAAAAGATGGATTTTGTCATAGATTCTTTTCAACGGGTAACATGATTCGATCGTCGTGGCGATTCACGGATTACCACGATATTTTTGCATCGATACCGTCGTTTCACGCACATTTCGTATACCTGCTATTTATAGCGATTCCGTCACTGTATTCGCAGGCCAGAAGCTCTTCTCTTTAGCGTCTCGATCGCGCGAGAGTCGCGAATAATCTCCGAGTGTATGTGCAAAAATTTGCATACGCTCGAACGTAATCAACTGCAGGAAACTTTCGTGATTTTCGCGATAACTAATATGTCTGCGGTGTAACTAACGGTGCAAATTGAGTTCACGATCGCACGATATTCTTGAACTCATTTCGCGTTTCATTTACGTGCGTTTTTTTATGCAAAATAATTTTGCAAATATTTTTTAAATTGTCGATCTTTTTTGATAAAAATTATAACGAAAGTAAGAGCATCACACATTCATTTTTTACAAGTCTCTTTTCAAGATTGGTAGTCTAGCGTATATTCGCTCATACGTGTATAATATTTTACAAGTAACACTTGTTTCGTTGGGTGATGACACATGCTAAATCCGACATGTATAATTAAATACATTCTTGTGGGAAACGTGACTCTTCGCGGAATTACAAGCGATGTCTGTTACGTAATTACATCGGATGCATCTCGTTGTGAATGCGTTCATTGAATGAGCGCGTTCGCTGCAGTTTCGATGGCACATTTATATACACGCACATGTTCAGTAGTATGTTCCGAATGTAACATTATCATTAACAAAATATTTAGAAAAGCAAGATAAAAAGACGAAGAAAATTATATAATATATAAAACATTCTATTTTTTCAACTTTGAGGCTTTAATCGATTAAAATAAATTTGCAATTACATATTTTAAAACTTTATTTTTATTATATTTACTCATCTTTTAGAGAAATGTTGAATTATATTAAAAACATTCTCATTCAACAGTTATTATTTATATAAATCGCGTAATTATTTTTTAATTTATATACTTTTCAAGATGAGATTTAAATCCAGGTGAAAAATGCAAATTTCTCAGTGCATCGCGTTATTACGTCAACATGACCTTGACATTGACTCGTTCGTGAGTGGTCCCCACTACGGGTGCTACTGGAATCAAGCACTAAATTGTGATGCAAGGAAGGTGAGGAGCTTGCAGGAAGCCTATGAGCAATTTTACGCAGTAATTTTTGCGACATCGAGGCAAGCGCACCGTTCGCGCTTTAAAGCCAGGCGCGTTTAACTCGTGCACAGTATCGACTTGCCTCTCAATCGGCAAGGATCCACGATGATCTTGGATGAGGATCTCTATCCACCCAGACATAAAACGGTAGTCAAATTTCGGTACGTTGCGCACAAACTGCGTAAACTTGTATTATGCTTTGACAGGTTTCATTGTTCGTCGCAGTTTAGACAAAATAATTTCATCGCAATTAATTTATTTTCATTAATTTATCATTTTTTTTTAAATTTTTATATGTTATCGAATTTAATAATTTAATAATGATGCATTATCGATTAAAGAAAGATTAGAAATATTTAAAAATCTTCATTTTTATTATATGTACATATATAGTTTCAAAATGACTTTTGCAATAAATCATAACGAGTTTTTTTTTTGTGAGAAACTCTCGTCATTGACATGTAAAAGATTCTATCCATAAATTTGCGCCGTGATAAATAATCGCTCGATATCGATTACGTATTCTCGATGGGTCGTAGGAGGTGAGTATGGTCCATTACAAAGTTCGAATAATCACGTGTTTCTGACGTAATGTTAGCGTTCAGGGACGTTTACCGCAAATAGACAAGTATGCATGGCACAACATCATATGCGCGCTAAGGGGCTTCGATGCAAGTATTTCCTGACCTAACGCGTAGATTGCGAATTTATCTAGTAAGAGATGTAGTTGTCGAAGAGTATTACGCATTTATTTAAATCTTTTTTTTTTATTTTTATTTAAGTTCAAGTTCAAGTTTCTGCTTATATTAATTTAGAATCATAAAAGTAATTCTTTGTTTTTAAGTAAATAAATAACAAAAGTATCATACATCATGATTTCAAACTGAATCAAAAAATACAAAAATAAATTTAATTAATAATTTTTACTGAGCAGTAAATATCTCTTTTTCTCTTATTTAGATCTCTTATTTTATTTACATCTCTTATTTTATTTAGTAGGAAATTTATAGCGATAACATCTTGATATGTCGATAACTGTATCACTCTTGTCTCTTTATTTTTATTTCAAGCGGAGCGATAAAAAATAAAAGTTTGATAATTGCGATATCTCGTGCAGATGAATTTGTGATGCCTTTACGGATAGACGAGCAGGCTTTCAGACAGCTCGTCGAAGCTCGAACAGCAACAGGAAATTGCCTCTTATAGGCAGGTCAATAGCTTGTTAGTTGACTTTGGCGAAACTATGTTAAACTTTACGCTTGAACTTTTGCGAATACAACTGACGTGTTGTCGGCAGTCATGGCCTTTTGCGATCGAAGATTCGAGCAGCGCGATGCATGCCAAAGGAAATTAAATTACTTTCACATACATATGCTTTTGTCTAACGACTATAGTCTTTCCGTTTCACAGCGTTGGCAATGTACGACTATTGTGTGACCTAAGCGATTCATTGACTCTCACAATCAGTCTCATCTAGATTGCGTAATGACTAAAGACGATTTCGCCGAAACGTGCTTTTTCACAACTGTTATCTTGTCCGATTATCCTTACGATTATTTTATTCGATAAAATTAGATAACTAGATATGATTTGCGACATTATGATTATCTTTCTGCTATTTGCCGAGCAAATCAGATGATTGATAAATAATAATCGCTATCTACCATGAATCGTTTTTATTTTGTTTACGTGATTACTTTGTCGTTTAATTTCGTGAAAACATTTACCGTTTTGTTCGACGGCATTTTATCTCCATGATAGAGGATAATAATAGCGCGAAATAATACGATGGGACTAAATTATAAGTTGCTATTCTGCCGACGTGATCCGCGTTTCGTCTGGCCTTTTCATTCCCCGATGAGTCAAGTTTTGTGAGAGCTTGCTCGCTATGGTCGACCTCCCTCGATTTCACGAGACGAGATCCGACCTTTCTCTTGTCTGGCATAATTGTTCTCTGCCGCATTCTTTCCCATACAACTTTCCTTCGACTCTTTTGTTCCTACTATCGTGATATTTCAACATTTCCAATTTAGATTCGATCAAAATCTAAATATATATCACCCAGAAAAGAAGTATAAATCAGGCTCCAAAAAAAGTACAAGACATATATAATGCATTCACGTTCCTGAAATAGCATTGTCGAAAAATAACGTAGCAGTTGATAGCAATATATTTATTCGACGACGATGGACGGCAATCTCTGTCTTCGTTCAATAAATTGCATGTACAAGGGAAATAAAATGCGAGAAACAGTCGTTATTACCGTTAGACACGTTACGTCGCGTGACAAAACATAGTGACATTTTATTCTCAGAATCCTCTTACTATTAGAATTTATTCGACCATCACGAAACTTTATATCACGCTTGATGCAATTTTCTTAAATCTACCACGGATTATTATAAAATATAAAAACATTTTTTGCTCCTAGAAAAATAAAACATTTAAAAAAATCTATATATTTTCTTTTTTTATATATAAAATTTAAAGTAATTTTTAAAATGTGTAATAATAACAAAAAAGTTCTTTGCAGCTTCCTTGAAAATCTTATTAAAACATTATCAAAGTTATTTACTTGTGTGTATAATAATTTTATATAATTATACTTGAGATATGTGGATATATAAATTTTTTTCTAAATTTATGTGAATATCTCGAGGAGCAATAAATATACGAGGTTGAAAATTGCGGAGTATAATAAAATTGTTTCATAATTAAAGTGAGAGATAATTCCGAATGGAGTGAATTAAGAGATGAGTAAACAGAGTAACTTGAGACGGATGATTTGAGAAATCACGTTATCTTGAATACTGCAAATATAATTGTGACGATGTTATCGCATACCATTTTAATATTCTTATTGCTAGTGGGAGTCAATGACTTCAAAGATGAAAAGCAAGACTTCCGGTATCACAATTTTCAATCCAGGCCGACATTATTTTATACAGTTATACATAACTTTACTCTTATTTGTAAATATGCTTACGATCGATCGGTTCTCTTTGGGAACCGTTAGTAAATTTAACATTGATTATATCAGCATTAAGATTAATATAGAATTGATCTTCGTCGAGAAAGTCACCCAGATGAACGTAGGTATAGATTTTAAAAATATCGATGTGTCGTGTGAAATTATTTTACAAGTTTAAAAATCGAGTTTTCATTATACATACATATTTTATCGAGTACGCTTATTATTTTCTTAAGTTGTACAAATAATTTGTACATAGCTTTTACGATTAATTTGCTGCGTGTTGACATGTGTTGTCTTACTGCTTTTTGTACATTGTTCTTGTTTGAAATGAATTTGCCAACATTCGAGGATTTTTTAGATTTGCCATAGAGTTATAATGAATTCAGTTGAATGCACTTAGTGCGCACTCACTCAGTTTCCTGTATTATTTTTAATATCGATCGAATGCAGAAAATTGAAGAAATGCGCGCCAATATGCATATAGCCAATATATGCATTAGTGCATCTAAATATTATTATATTTTTTTATCACGTGATAAGATTTTTATTGGATAGAAATTTTTAGCGCTTGATTACAATTTATTTCTATGTTTAATTCTATTTTTTTTTAATTTTTTCAATATAATCAAATTATATATAACAGATTGCGAATAAGAAAGTATATAATAAATTTTATATATTTATCTTTTCTTCAAACGTCCAATTTTCAGCTTTCAAGCAAATTGTTTTTCTAATTAGCTAAAATATAAAGTACGGTATTTTTTTGTAAATAGGTTAAAAATAATAAATAAAACACAAGAGAACTTTAATTAAGTGATAATACCTCGCTTGGAATGTCATTCGCTCATTGTTACTTGGTGCAAAGAAATTTACTGTTTTTAAATTAAATTAAATTAATTTAAATTAAATTAAATTAAATTTTAAATTAAATTAATTTAAAATTACTGTTTTTAAATTATATATACTTGATATATAATTGAGATTAATCTATTAATATAATACAACTCTTTTGTACAAATTTGAAGCTGCATATTTTTGCAAAAACTTGACTCGCAAATATAGAATTGATATCAGCAATTAAAGAGATGCAATTGGTAACAATTTGAAGGATGGATCAATGATGAATAAATTTGAAATTATTCATTGGTTAGATAATCGCTTTTATGAGATAAAAATAAAAATATTTATATAAATATTTATATTAAAGTTAATTATGAATAATTTCTATGATTTATTTCGTCGGAAAGAATCTGCATTTGTTAATAAAGTTAATAAATACAACAAACAGAAATTATTTGTCGTTAATGAAATCAGAAAACATAAAAGCGATTTAATTAACTGACGAATAATTGTTTATCGCCAAAATCTAATCTAAGGAATTTACAAAGCTATTAATTCCGCATAAAATTATTTGTACCAAGCCAAGCAACACAGAAGCGAAGATAGCGTGGATTAACGTGAAATACGCGCGATTCTGTAACCACCAAAAGTTAACCGATAATAATAATAACCCTCTTCCTGCGCTCGATTACCAATTGGCTCTCTGCATTGGCACGTTGGTGACTAACTATGAAGTCGGCATCATACGAGCACCAGCGAGCATCACACGTCGACGACCTCGAAGAGCGAAGGTTGGGACAAGGTCGACCCTGCAGCACCGCCAAAGCGGTCCGCGTTCGACAGCTTCAAAAGGTGACGCTATCGCTAGAGAAAAAAAAATGAGAAAAAAAAAGAAAACGAGTCTATTGATGTAGAGACCATCTATAGGATCGAAAAATGTCTTCGCAAGGGCGCACACTTCCCATTAACTTTGTAAAGCTTGCCAGAGAACCAAGTAGATCGACGCTTTGTTCTAGAATAGTGATAGCGAATTTTTTTTAATCCGCACCTTTTAATAAATTACTTTTTAATCTCTTAGTCGGAGTATTTTCTCCAATCTGCACTGTGCCGTTTATTTCTCGATATATTTATGTCTTAATTCTTTGTAGAATGAACTTTAAAAGTAAAGTGTAGTTGGCAAAAAGTTTTCGGTTATTACAAAAATTTAATGTAATTAATATAATTTAATTATTATGATATATACACAAAAAGTGTACAAATTAAAAATTTAACTTTTCTCTTTTGCTTAATCAAGTGTATTTTTGAACCGATACTAATGCATTATTAATACGATAGATAGTGAAAGAATATAATAAGCTAAAAGTGTCTCAACAATAAATGATGCAACGTTATATCATTATTTTCTACAAAGGATTAATACAGTTGTAATCGCACTAGAGAACGAGTGCAACGACCAGATGTCTGCACGTTCTGTGACCTCACACTCGGGAACGTTGACGATTGTTACCTTCTTGACACAATTCATACTTTATGTTCTTCACAATTCTGTATACATTATAGTATTACGTATAAAAGTCAGATCTGAGTAACATTTTCATTTGACACTAAAAAGATGGCGAGCATTTTAATCACCAATTTCAAAAATTAAATCATCAATTTAAAAAATTAAAAATAATTGACATTATATATTCTCTATAAAAAAAATTGTGCAATTTTCTTTTACTTTTATTTTTAAAAATAATAATTATTGCTACGTGAAATACATTGTTTAAAAATTTACGCCGACCTTTTTAGTGTTAACATTGTGCACGATTTTGAATTAATACCAGTCTTTGTGCGTGATTTATGTTACTTATCTGTCGCATTGCCACCGTAGATAAGAGGCTTTAAATTATTGCACCTACTATAAGCATACACACAACAGGTTTTATGTTAGTGTATCACGGATTTCGTTCATCACACTGTATCAATATGTTCAACGTCTCATCATGCTCATTTAGATTTTACACACGAGCGATGATCGTTGATGATAATCGAAGTTTTCGTTTTAAATTACAGCACTACCACGCAACAAAGCACTCAAAATAGCAGTTCCCTGAGTCCTCAACACGATCATACTTGGCTGGATGGCCTCAACAGTCCCCTCATCCAGGATGAGGGTGACAACAAGATGCTGAAGCTGCGCTTCGATGTGTCTCAATACACGCCCGAGGAGATCGTTGTCAAAACTGTGGATAACAAACTCTTGGTGAGTGAAACTTTTGTAGTTGAATCTTTGCGAGAGAAATATCTTAATCGCGTTTATTTTGGGCATTCATTGATTCACTTTGTAAAAAAAGAATTCAAAAATTTATTTTAAATTTTTTTTACCAAGTATAATATATAAATAAAATTTTTAATAAAATTATTCTCCTGATATTTAGTGATCAAAATCTGTCTTTAGATATCTCTCTCGTTCTCTCTCTTTTTCGCGAATAAATTAATTTACTCGAACAATAGATTATTAGAACTAGAATAGATAGAATAGAATTAAATCTAGATTAATAAAATATTACTGAGTGTTTCAATTTATTGCTTCTATTCAATTCATCTGGCAAATGCAGGAAACTCGAAATTATTACACGGTTGACTCATCGCGTATGATGCTCTCGCCAGTATGGTCTGTTGCACAACTTGGCAAGATGCAAATCGGGTTCAAGTTTTTTGCGCAATTGGCGCGACTCAAAGTTGTCGGTCCACGCATAATTTACCGTCGTATAATAGCAACGATGTTAGTTGGACGGATTGCGTGCCACTGTACAATTTTTTCTAGATAAATTTCTAATTCGTCAAAGATATTAGTTGTTAGGAAAGTTGCGATTATTCTTATATATTTTACGCTAAAGGAAAGACTTAAAATTCACAAACAAACACTGTTAAATTAAATTTGAAAATATTATGTTTCGTTCTTCTTTCCAAAAATTTACATTTAAATTCTCGATAAATACAGAAAATAATCAATCAATGTGAAATGCAAGATATTTTTTGCAAATTGCATAGTAGAACGTTGTAATTGTTCGCGTTACATCACTTCCTGCTGGGAAGTTTGCTTCATCGAGTGAACTGACCGAATTCACACGAGAGACAGAAATTTCATTTAGCAGTTTGGACGTTATCGATTCGGAAACGCAATTTTATCTCTCATTCAGTCATTTTATATAAATTTGACAAATTTATAAGAACTTGTCTTGCTTTTTCGCCTCAAATTTCGAAAATTAGAATTTGAGGAAGTAAAATATTAAAGCTGGAATTCTTTGGGATTTCTGTATACGTGCCTCTTGGAGCTCCTCCTCTAATGCTCTCGCGTCGACCTGGACGGAAATAACTGATGCCGAAAATAAATTCACGCCAGTCGTCATACCGGCGGACCGGAATAATGTTCGGCTATTGTGAACAAACGAACCGAAATCGAAATACAGGATGCAATTATGTTTATGAATTACACAAGAAACATTTTTCTAATTACACTTTGAATGTAATAACGATATAGATATTAATTTAAAAAATTACTATAGCTAATTTAGTAAATTTAAGAAAATATAGCTTTAGAGAATTATAAATCTTTTAATGAAAAAAAAATTTATATCATATTTAATATCATAAATAAATAATTATTTTAATTTACGCGACGAAGAAAATAATAAATTTTACTATGCTTCTAAATATCATTATTCGCGTAATATCCTGTTTTCGTAACACGAGCTATGATAATCATAAAATTGTTTATTTATTTCAATGAGACGATTTATTTTCATAAAATTATGCAAATTAGGTATATTCTTTCTTTCTCTTTCTCAAACAGATAGGTGTTGTGATAAAATCTTCTACCGTTATGCATGCTTGGATGATAAGGTCATTGTGGCCATCGCACTCTTGTTCTTGATCGCGATGAAAGGAAGATTATAGTGAAAGATTCGTCGACGAGCAGTATATTATTCTAATGATTTATTCGACAAATGGTTAGCCAATTCGAATCTTTCATTCTAATTTCATGGTCTCTTAAAGATCAGGACTAATGAGGTAGGTCACAAAGCAGATATATTTCATACAAGATGTTTAAAAAATTGCACTCTTTCGCAGTGTATTTAAATCAAAAGATTATTAGCTTGCTCTTTTATAGTATTTTATTATTTATAAAATTTTTATCAAAATCTGAGAAATAAAGAATCTTTTGGTTTGCGATATTATTTGATATCATGGTTATCTCGGTGGTTCAAAGAAATATTGATTTTCTTAGCATCGTCTTCAAGTAGTTTATAGCTCAGTGAAAACTGAATGGCGGCTGTCAAAACATCTCTCTTATCTGCTGGATTGTCTGTATGTCAATTTGAAGAGTATGAGTTTTCGATTCGTTTCCATTTATTGCGAATCACATCATTGTCTTTCTTGAGAAATTATTGATATATTTATGTTCGAATAAATTCTCCATTTTTTTCGCATTTGTATTTTTCATAATTCTTTAAAATCATTTTAAAGCTTTGTTATATATGTGCGTAATTAAATGTTTCTTTCAATGTCTCTTTTTCTTTTCTTTTTTTTCTTACATGCAAATACAATCGAATAATTGTATTCAGAACAGTATCGGTCCTTTATTTTATTTTTTTTCGCAACAAGGAAATTCTTTAAATAAATTTCACAAAACGCGAGTAATCTTCCATAAATGGGTTCCCCAGACGGAACCTGATGGCACAAAAAGAATTGCTTGTCGTATATTGTGGTCAGGGTCTGGCGAATTTAGGTCGGTTGCGCACCGCAAACTGACCTTAAAGGGCTTAACCAAGGATGATGCTCCGAAGGACGAGGCTGGAAATGGGATGTGAATACAAGAGTACAGAATATTTTTCGCAAATTTATGGTCATTGCAGAAGCGAGAAGATGTGTATTCTTATTTTTTTGTGTCTTTTTTTATAGTATATAATTGTGTAGAATTTTAAATTTGGATTTTGATAGATTTACTTGACGGCTTCGATTTGAAGGTATATTTAAGATAATTATTTAAGATAATCGGTAATTGAAAGGAAACGAAAAAAAATAGTGTTTCGTCAGATTCTAGTTGATGATTTCAAGTTTGTCAAAGTATCTGTGACCGAAAAAAAAGATGTGACAGATCCTTCATACGTCGCATAATTGAATTATTGAGTTTTGTTCGTTCCAGATTTGTAATTTTTACCGTGTCGAAAATTTACGTCTCATATTACTTATTTTTAATTTTCCAGATTTTACAACCATATGCGCGAAAACCGAAATGGAAATAGGAACTTCAAAATTCATGATTATATTTAGTTCGTGAGTCAGAGCTGCCAGTAGCTTTCGTTATTTTCGACAATCGCGGCACCGAATTTCGGATATAACTATCAACTATGTTGAAATTATTTCATTCTATAAATTTATCTTGTTTCACAATATTAACGATATTAAAAAAATTATGAAATTAATCTATACCTTTTTTTTATTATTGTATTATAAAATTATTATAATAATAAATTATTAAATTTTTTAAGAGAAAAAGGATATTTTGCGTTAGAAATACATGACATGTAACAATATATAATTTTTTTATAAAAATTACAGGCGCGCTAAAGCTTTTGAAATATTTGATAATCGTTGATAGAGTTATGATATCGTCGTGTTTTCTGTAACCCAGATTTCGTTACCGTAGCATAAATCGGGAATACTAAAGTCTGATAAATCGTCGCTTCTCAATGAATAGTGGTTATAGCTGGTAAGATTGCATAACTCACCTCTCTCGTAAGACGATATCCGTCATGAAAACTTAGATCCTGCAAAGAGTTGGATTACTATAATTCACGACCTCTCTTTCCTTTTCACCTTTTCCTCGGTTCCGTTCTCTTCGTTCTCTTTCTCTCTCGGTTTTGGATTACTTGGAACACTTCTCCATGTGGTGGTTTTAGTTTTTTTATGGTCGACACGATCGATATCCTAAGTCCTAAGGAATATAGCACGGAACAAGAAAATCGCGTTACCGATTTTACGACCGCATTATGGCAAATTGTCACGTCTTTCTAAACCATTTCGCGACTTAGAAAAAAAATTTCACTTCTTGATATCGATCTGCATTAAATAATTCATAAACAGAGATATTCCGAAACGGATAATCAATTGATTAGAAACTATCATTTTTTTCACCGAATCTCGGAAAATTTTTCAAACGTCAAATTATAGAAATATTCCATTATGAGAGAGAATATATTATCGATATATTAATAATTTATTGAATTACTTTCTGTCTCTTGTATAGGCTATTTGCAAGAAGATAAAACTCTTAAAGAAATGTTATCGATATATAAATGTCATAAAACATAATAAAAAATATATATAAATGTCATAAAACATAATAAGAAATATTTTCGATATGAAAAATTAGTATTAATAAAAAATTCAGGGAATCAATTATATCGGCTGCGTTTGTTATTTCTGTTGCTTTTACCGTCACTTACTATATCATCAGAACAGGAACCGGTGCCAAGGAATTTATATGCAAAAATTATGCAAGCTAGTAGCTTGAAATCGAATATGAAATCACCGGTTTTACAACGGTAAATAAAGAGAAGAAACGCTATAGACGCGCATATAATAGACAGATGCAATTTAAACATTGACAGCCAATCCAATTTTTCATATGACGCAAGATTAGGATCAACTTATCTCATTCGTTGGCACGAATCGGCGACGATAGATAGATCTTCTTTCGGTCTTCTCGATGGAAGACATTCGAGAAGCGAGTCGAAGTAAATCGGTTAACTCATTAACAGCTTTTACGTAATGCAATTAGCACACGACAGGCCTCGCCTACCGTTCACAGCTCTGTATCTTTGATGTGTTTGCCGCTCTAATGGGCGCGGCTGTAGCTTGCACCTGCATTTTTTTCGCGCGCGACAAAGCTATCGAGACACGCTTGAAGAAATATCATCGCGATTAGCAATGAGACATACGTGGCCTAAGCCAGCATCATGAGTTATTGCTGATAGTGATCGGCGGAAAATAATAGTCTTTTTCCTTTCTCTCTTACTCATCTTTTCGCTTCCCTTTTTATTTTTAATATTAACTTGAATATTTTGAAATAATATTTGTATGATGAGAAAAATATGTTTTCGATTGTATTAAAGTAAAAATATTGCCGACTCTTTTTGTGTTTGATTATAATTTTAAAAAATTTAATTTTGAAATTTTTAATATTAAGAATCATTTTGAGATTGTAAATATGGACCAAGTCTGGAACATTTTACATGTACATGCGTGCTTTTTATATAAAAGTATAATACTCTTGATTGTCTGAGTCAACATCCGCATCATCGCTCTAGTCTTCAAGGCAAGTCGCTTCGCTCGTATAAGAATTTTGCGATTTCTAAATACGTCGCTGATCGAACACATCATTAACATGATGTAATGTCTACGTCGTAACAACATTCGTTTACACAAACCTCCTCGATGATTCTCCATCTGTGAGTCGCGCAATAATGTTTGCACACTTTGAGCAGCAATCACTATCACGCGTGTGATTTATCTAAAAACTAGTTGGTAATTTATTTTGAAAAATGCATCCGTCAAATTGTCACACGAAAACACTACAACGAATAATTACGCATTTAGACAGACATACATGTTCAAACTTGATAAATAAGTCAACTTAATAAAAGTCATAAATTGACCGCATATTTTACTGCTTTTTTTCAGAATCTAGATGAATTATTTAACGATGAAGAATGGATCGTAACGACTAATGTGTCACGCAAACGAGTTAGGTTTGAAGAAAAAGAAATTAGAACGCGGGGTATATAAAGCCTGTGTACATACGAGCGGCGATCACTTTACGATAAGGTGTAAATTCTCATCGATCGTTGAATTAACAAAAGTAGTCTCTAGTAGGCTCTAGAACCTCGTCGATGATATAAAGGCTAAAAAACGGATATATTTAGGAAAAATAGACATTCCAAACATGCCTCTTGCATGAAAAATGCCCCTTTCATTAAAAAAAAATGAAATAGAAATTGAGGTATTTTTGTCTCGCTCAAAGAATGAGGTCGACTGGAAACATAATTCGCAAGAAAGCAACCACCCTTTAAAATATTGATTCGCGTGATGGAAGATATAGTGGTACGAACTGCCATCTTTTCCGTCTTTTTCCTGCTATATATGTTTCGATTTTTCTATAATGAGGCTCTCGTAAAATGTAAGGGTGATTATACCATGGCTCTCTAATTCACTTTTATCGCTGTTCTATTTTTGAGGTCTCATTTTCCGTTCTATATCAATGGTTTCATGAAATTGGCGACGAGCCATAATCATATTATTTGTACTATTTGCGAAGTTTACCTTAGATGTGCAAAAACAACATAATATGCAAATCTATTTAAAGAAACATTTTAATTCGAAAATTATGATTCATGATTACCGTTCATAGTTTGTAAGTTAAAAATTTTTTTTTGTAAATAATATTATATAAACGTCTCTGTTAAATTTAATAAAAATTAATAATATGAATATTTAACAATCTTGAAAAGAAAATTGATTACACGGAGACAATTTTTTACATAAAGTATATAAATTTACATCTCTATAAACATGTCATATTTTATCGTAATAAAAGTGTTTGGCGAAAACGTAATCGATATATCTCGCATGCGTTTGTAACATAATGCGTATACGTAGTTCGTATGCGGAAAAATGAGATCGATGCTTGATATGTTATACCAACATACGCGTTTATTAAGGAGATGAAACCTACGCTTGGTCAAACGAAACGGGCATGACTCATGGGTCGAACGAATGAGTCAATACGGTCACTATTACGAGTACATTCTCGTTACCCTATTTCTAGATCTCTTAGGGAAATTGCCCGTGAGAACATCACGAAGAACGTTTCAAGTATGCACATTATTTTACATCATTATTACTCGCGAGAATTTTATCGCGTTAACGATAATTTCTTGCTGTTTGATGCCTGGCGTATGCGAAGCGAATATTAACGAGAACTTGTAAATTTAAATCGGTAAACACATGCATACTATGATGAATTGTGAATAGACTATTACTATTTATTGACAATAATAATAATCTACATTAAAATAATAAATTTTTTAGCTATATTATGGGATAATTTGGCTATTGGCCATAATATATATTTTAGCTTCAAGGCAATAAGAGCGGTCATATTGCAACGTCCGATTGCAACACCTTGCGTATTTTTATATAGAGTTAATTTTTATCTTTGCATCTGCATATTCCCATTATATCCATGCGTATATATTTGGATGTATATTTTTAAATATAATCTACATGAAAAGAATAGAAAAATTGCTAAAGCTTATTTGATTAAAACTGATAAAATTCGACTAGATTTAAAATTATTACAAACTTTTTTCCGCAACAATTGCATGCATTTATTTCTCAATGAATCGAATAAATATGAATGGTGATGAAATTATAAGATTGAGATATCGTACACTAACAATGTTTTAAATAATGCAATTTTTGTTTCAGGTCCATGCTAAACACGAGGAGAAGACAGAGAGTAAATCAGTATACAGAGAGTACAATCGGGAATTCTTGTTGCCGAAAGGAACCAATCCCGAGAGTATCAAGTCTTCTTTGAGCAAGGATGGTGTCCTTACCGTGGAGGCGCCTTTACCGGCGATCGGATCGGGCGAAAAATTAATCCCGATCGCACATCAGTAAACTCGCGATGAATCGTCGAAACTACAATTTCTTATCTCCTGTCTCAAACTCCTCCCGTTCCAACTACCATTCAACTTACCCAACTTGGATCTTTCCGTAAGTCTCTTCATCCTTCTTTTACAATTCCTTACGGTATAAAACTTACTTATTGTTAGAGATACGAGTCGATTTGTTACGCGAGAAATTTTAACTAAATAGCAAAAGGGCGAGCGACCATGTCAAGTATCGACTTTCATTAGCTTAAAAAAAAAGAGAAAAGGGAAATCAAATGTAGAGATCAGTGTTGACGTGCTATAAAGATAAAAATTCAGATAAAAATGTTTGATATAAAATATTTTCCTTTTTCATACGAGCAGCTTTATTACAGCTTTGATACACAAGAATTTCACCTTCCCTCGTAGATAAATAATATAACTTTTTTCAAAGAGATGTGCATTGCCTTTTTTGAAAAGATATATTTTAGTTAGACTTTTTTTCAAGAAGTTGTGAGCTATATTGCTTACTTGTGCACCGCGTACCAACGAATCGAAACTATTACAAATGTATGGAAAAGCGATTGTTTTGTAATGGTTAACTTATGTATGTATTAGTTTAGGTGTACGTAAAAAGACTATAACACAATGCTTAGTGTGTGTATATATACATGAGCATTATATACTGATATTATTTATGAATATTTTAATATTTTCGAAATGTGCATAATATTTAAAGGTAATGCAAACACAAATTTAAATAAAAATCAATGATGAGAAAATTTATATGCAATTTATATTCCTCTGACAATATTCTCCAAAACAAATACACGGTGAGTATTAATATGCATATAAGTTTGAAAAATTAGTAACATAGTAATTTAGTGTGTGAAGTGATTTTCAGTTAACAATAATATTTCGATTGGGTATTATGTGATACACATCAGATTATGGATTTTTAATTTGTCTTTATTAACAAAATATTTTTTTTTATATACAGATTTTATATATATAGAGATCTTTTACGTTTAATTATAAAATTCTTACACAAAATTGTGTTTGTATTATTTCTTAAAATAGGAAAACTTAAAGATTTCAAAATAAATAATATTACATGATTGATTCTCACATTCGTATTATCTCTAAGAAAAGAGTATTTTGATAAAAAAATATTAAATAATTCTATATATATGTATATAATTTATGATGGGCAAATCTGTTCATTATTACAAACAATTGATATAAATCTGCATATGATTATATCGGTAGTACATTATATGTATAAAATAGCAAGTTTCATTTCATAAATTGTACAAGATGTATTCATATAATTTTGTCATGGATCAATAGAGTTTGACATTTGCTTGACAAAAAGGTGTTTTATCTCTTAGATTTATGTACAAGGTTATAACACGAAGACATTGTATTATCTTTTATCATTTTGGCATACTTTTTCAAGTCGTTATGGTAAAACTGATAAAAAACATAATTTTTATATTATCTGCTTGCCAATAAAACGTATAAACAAAACTAGTAAATAACATATCGAGATTGGAAACAATATTATACGGTTTTATTGCAAGAAAAAGAAGTCTGTCACTAATTGATAAAATTTATATGATGCGGTATAAAACACATTTTCTCTTTGTATATAAATATTATTCAGATAATATTATTGTAATAAAAGATAAAAGTACGGTTAAAATTTTTATATACTCGGGACTTCGGCGGAAAATAGTGGCGCGTCTGATGCGGTAAACGTTGGTGATTTACCTTCTCTCGCGATGCGCAACGCTTGATGAACCGATACTGTATCGAGTTCTTTTTGATTCGGCTTCTCGTTATCGAGACAAATGTCGGCAGCTCTCTTACCAAATGGCTCCAAAACTTTAACTCTGTAATCCACTATCGTCGATACAGGATTACCAGTCAATCTCAGATTCTCCAGACAAGGTAAATGACCGATATGTTTTACTTCTTCGATCTTTTCGATGCGATTGCAGCTTACATCCAATCCCTCCAATGAGTACAATTTCGAGAAACTAGCGAGAGACGTTAATTTGTTTTGCGACAGATCTATGTATACGATATATCCGAGTTTTGTATGAAGGTCATCCGGCAGATTGGTAAAATTATTCGATGCTAGGTACAATTGAGACAATCTCGGCAATAACGTAACATTAGAAATCTCGGACAAATGATTGTTGTTCAATGTCAGACACTCTATGTGCGGTAACAATTTAATTGCTTCATCAATGACTTCTATGCGATTATCACTGAGGTCTAAATGTGTCACTTTTAACCACACATGAGAATCATTAGCGTTTATGATATTTTTATGAACCTCTTCACACATGGCAAATTCTACAATGTTTCTGAGCTTAGTGTTGGTAACTTTTAGCATAGTCACAGTATCTCGAAGATTTCCCATATTATAAATTTTATCCACGGGGTATTGATCGATTGTCAGATACTGTATGTTTTTGAAGGTCGATAATTCTATGGACAATGTGGATGAATAAATATTACTAGTTTTATAAGGTTCCAAACTTCCTTCAATCGTGAGACTATTCAAGTGAGAATTAAAATCCAAAACGTGACTAAAGTCGTATTTTTTATCCACAACTTCCAAAGATGGACATGGTTGTTTCAATCTCTCGCTAATTGCATATAGCTAAAAATAAATGGGAATCGTATTAGCATCTTTGTAATATAAATTTACACTTATTAAACTATAAATTAAATTTATTACCTGTACAGGATTAAATTTATAACTTGAATTTTGTAGCAGAGTATTGCCATTGGTAAAGAACTCCAGAGCCATACTTTGTAGAAGAAAGTATATATCGTATACATGCAGGTCTAGAAATACAGCCAATTCTCGAGGCATCGCCTTCTTTAAATAATTATAAACGGCGTTGAGATATATCTCGAGACTCTGCCTGCGCTTCTCCACAAAGGCTTCGCACTTGTTACCAATGAGTTTTTTCGGCGGTAAAATATCCTTCTCCACGCAGTGCTCGGAGACGAGTTTATCGTGCAGTTCCGCAAAGTCATTGTATCTTGAACACAAAGGAAAATCATATTTTCTTTCACCTAGATACCATCTCTTAGGTTAAATAGAATAGAGGAGCGATTATTACGCGCGCGTAGGATTTGCGGTGGAAATGAGTGTAATTGCCAATGTTACCTGTGCCTCACGGTCCATTTGATCGATGCGATTCCAATCTCGATGCAGTAATACGTGACTCCGTCCACCGTGTCGGCCGACGGTATTTTTAAACGCACATTTTCCTGGTTCGACAGCAGACACGCCATGATCGTGTCGCGATGCGCGTCTCGGTTCGTTTATACGTAGCAGGTTGATTTTGCGCGACGATCCGGACTCCGGACTCGAGAGGTTACTTCTCGGTGTAATCGCGCGATATCCGCGGAATAACGCAGCGCGGCGCGATGCGACGCGGTGCATTTAGAGAAGAAGAGTCTGCGATCTTGCTACATCGAGCTCTGTGTCTCCGCCTACCGCTTATCGCTGTCGCTGCGACGTACTTGTTGATCGAAGCTGTCTCAAAAAACCGTCAATGTTATATCTGCAACACGAGATATACAGCATCCTTTCATTTTTGACAGTTACCGAACAGCTGTGGGAACAGATGGCGTACGGTGCTGCCATCTTACGACGAGACGTCGCATCACCAAGGTGTCGTTGCGCGACACGCCGCGAGATGTCGCTTCATCTATCTTGCGCGTTGCGCGTCTCTCGATCTTGGTCAGTTTTGTAGCGCGCGATGGACGGTGATTACGTACGTACGTTTAAATTGTGATACTTTATTCCAGAAAAGGACGCGAATCCATAAAAGAAGGAAGAAAATGTAGGTACGTTTAGATGTTCTTAGCGTTTTTTTCCCTCGACTCGTTTTTTACTCGCTCCTCTCTTTTTATCTACTCCAACCATCAATCCATTTTCTCGCTCGTGCGGAAAATATGACGACATAACCTGAGTTATGAATCCTTCCGAAACGCGAGAATGTCCTTGGATGGTACGGGTCTCTTTAAAGAAGAGTTTTCTGAGAAACGAGATACCGGAGTAGAGTATATATTTTTTTTTTATCTCACTGATATATCATTTTATAAAAGATAACGAGCAGATTCAGATATATATATACATATTGCTGCACTTTTCAAAATATTCACACGTACAGTTATTCATTTTTTGATAACTCTTTTTTTGTCGTAACGTGCAATTTCAGGATAACGGAGCGAAAATTATTGCCACGATCCTTTTTTAAATTTTCTAAAATGCGATCGATAATTATAATGAGATAAATACCTACCATCCCGAAAATATCTCGTGATTGCTTTAACAAATTTTCGGAGCTGCGATATCGCTTGATATCTATTGGCGATCTTAATATCTTGCGTCTAATCTTTTGTACAAACAAGAAATCTTTTTCAATCGTTTGTCATATATCGTATATCGTGAGAATTTATCAGCGTTTCACCGATAAGATATTCGCTGAGAGAGAGAGAGGGGGGGAGAGAGAGAGAGAGAGAGAGAGAGAGCAAGAAAGTGAGCGACCGAGAGTGTGATTTTGCATGGTTATATCTCAAATTGCCGCAAATATTACGAAGACCAGATTCAGCTAGGAAAGAAATTTGTTTTTGCTTAACGTAGGGACAGATCGCGCTGCCACAAAACGAGCTCGCTCGCTCATTCATGGCAGCTCTCATTGGCAACAACCTGTTGCCGCAGTGGCGTAACCGAGGCTTCCTATCGGAAGTGCTACGTCAAACGGTTGATTACACCAATGTATGGATTAGACACACAGTGTGTCCTCAGATTGGTGCTAGATAAATATACAGGAAGTTATTTCTCGGATGCAAAATTTTTGCAATCGATTTCTATCGTAAATATATATCGAGACGTGAATAATTCTCTAGCTACGCAACCGGACATAAATGATGGAATACGTCATTCATTGTTTAATTTGAAACGAATCGCGCTAAAATTTTTAACCGTAAAATCTATCAGAAATATTTCTAAATTTCACGAGGAACACAGCTGTACATTCATTTTGATTAGTATCGTGCGTTATTGAAATTGTAATAAAATTGATATATCTTTATCTTTTTTTTAATCCTAAAAAGAATTTAAAATTAAATAGGCATCTCGTTTTTTAGTTTAATCAATAATGTATGAATTTGATGACAAATCATTCCAAAGAGATGTCTTATATAACATCTACAGCTTTAGATCCAAATTAATATGTTTTATTCATTTATATTTGGTAGGCATCGAAAAGACGTGGCTCTCAAGGCATTTTATAAAAAAAAAGAAAAATATATGAATCGAAGTCCCCCATGGAGTCTCGCTATTTACGCCACTGCCAGGTTGGATGCTGCGTCAGGAGCAATGGCGGCTTACCTGGCTGGCTGTGCTCACCACTCCCCCCCTTTATTTCCCCTTACCTTCATCGCGTTCCTCGGAGGCAAGCCGACGAACCTGTTGCCCGTTCCCGTCCAGTATCGTGTCGGTTTCGTCCTTACGCGGTACGCGTGCTCTCGCGGCGCGCGCGCGTCCAGGTGTGTGTTTATCGCTGGAGAAACACGACGGAAATCACGCGCCGCGTGCACCGGAAAAAAAAGGGATCCTCAGGTGGCCCTCCTCGCAGGTATACGATTGCGATCGATGCGAGCTTCCTCGGCTCCTCTTCTCGAACCGCGCGTCGACGCGTCATCGTCCGTGTCCGCGCGCGCTTTCACCCACGTTTCTTCGATCGTCGAAGCGTTTTTCGGAAAAGCGACGAAAAATTTGTGCGAAAAAAATGGTAAGGGAGTAAACAATATATCGCTCTTATATCAATTTCTTGGGTGCTGTTATAAAAAAGATTCGATATTATCGATCTATTTAAACGTTCGCTCGATGTGATATTTCTCGAATTTCTTCTCGAATTTCGACCCCTTCCTCAAAAGAGATTGCGAAATCGCAGTATAAATGGTGAACGATGCTTTAACATCGGAAACGCGATTTCTCTTGGATATCGTTACGAAAAATCTGGTGAGAAACGAAACGAGAAATGTAGCTTCGGACGGGAGATTTGACAATTCGCGAGAGAGTCGAGTGTGTTTGCCAAAAAAAGATTAGTCGCGTGGGAAGTGTGCTTAAATTAAGTGCAGTGACACACAGAATAGATAGCGGATTATACCTTTCACGATCGGTAAAGACGTCAATCTGACAACCACATTCCAGAGGACGCGTCCGTTCTTCGTTGCTTAAACCAAGGACGGTGAGTTTCAACGATTACAGCCTCTGATCAATTCTTTCGTGATGGACGATCTATCTGACCGTCGTAAATATTCTTTTTCAACACCTGAAACGGCAAACGCGATTTACACAAACATCGATTTTAATGACAATATAATGCTATTCGCAACATTTTTTTTGTTGGCTGCGGATGATAGTCTATCTCTGATAATCAAAAATATGTTATCATTACAACGATGTGTAATTTTGATAATTACGATATTATGATAGTAGCTTTTATTACGGATAGCAGAAAAAAACGGCGCATATTTCTACGGTTTTATGCGAGATTGCAAAAACGCGATTAAACGCGACAAAAATTACGTGACGGACTGCCAGAATACAAAATAAATCTTGGCCTGTGATTCTCTCATTAGCATTCGGTTGAAGTGAATTGCGCAGGTAGATATTTCGGTTGTAAGCGTATTCTGACATTCTTGCCACGTCATTGACACCAACGGCATAGAAAGATCACGAAAGAAAAAGGTGCTCGTATAAGAAGGAGAAAATCATGTAAATGTAATTTTTCGTCATGGACCTATTGAATTATCGTGCGTTGTAATATATTAAAATTTAAATGAATTTATCAATTTATCAGTTATGCATAAATGTTATCAGGTACCAATGAACAGACTCTTCGAAACATGTAAAATCTTTTTCCATAATTTTTAAATTATATTATAACTTTATATTATAACTTTTTATTATATAAAGGTTTATATTATAACTTTATTTTAAATTTTTTCTAGTATAACTGTTCAATGTACTTTAAAAGTAAATATAATTAATATTAAAAAAATTAGATGGCATGTAAATAAAAAGAATTAATTAAAATTATTTAATTTTTTTATTTTATAGCAATTTTTTTCTTTTATTGGCGGCGTTTTTGTACATCGATATAAAATTTTAATCGATATAAAATTTTAATTATCTCGTAAATGTTTCCATTTGTTATATTGTACGTTTCCACACGTTAAACGCGTATTTGTTTTCTCAGTTTCTGAAAAATGTATTTCGCGAATATTTCCTTTTTCTCTTTCATCCATACGTGTTTTTGAGGAGACTCGAATTGTAATTTGCGAGAACTGTCAGTTAAAGCGATCATGCACATGCCAGAACAGTGCTCGTCTGTGACTTTAAACTTAATATCGTCGTCTTTCTTGCAGCTCGCCGTTTCCGATTACATACTTGGAACAAGAGAAGGAGAGAGGAACCAAGATGGAGAGGATACTCTGAGAACGAGAGAATAGAGGATGCTGGATGCCGTGAGACTGTTCGTCGAAGCAATAGCCGGGATCGCGGCGGAGGTGAGTGGCCGCTTCTTTCTCTTCCGCTTGGAATGTTGCGTTGTTTCTCGTCTCTCGCATCGAGGAACGAAGAAGCCCTTCACGTTCGATTAGAGCTCAGCGATACCCGTTATAATACGTCGTTGTTCTTTTTTTTTGTGCCGACAAAGTCAGTCGTAGAACACTGATCCGTCTCGTCTCGTGAGAAATGGCTCGCGCTACGAACTTCTCTTTGAATAAAGTTGGCTGCTTTCACAAAAGTCGATTGATCTTTGCGGCGACGATGTATTCTATAAATCATTTGTTTAATTCGATTTAAAGTTCATTGAGCTTTGATCGAGCAATCTAAAGGATTTTCCCGCATTTCGCATGTACGCAGTTTTTCGTTTCTCGTCTGACAATTTGACGATGACGAAGAGCAATATATATATACACACGGAAGCCCAATTCGCTGATTTCTCGATGCAACGGAATTTGATTAAAATCAAAGTGCAGTTGCGCTTTACGTAAAATAACGCAATTAAGAACATATGGAACGCGGTTGAGCAAAGTGTAATTTACACCCGAGCGCGTTCGAAATCGATGATAAATATCCTTTGTTTCGTTCGAGCTCATAGAAATTATAATGAAACAAAATAGAAATTATATTTAAAATATTTATACCGTGAAAAAAAACACGTTGCAATGCGAGAAGCGATGTATAGGAAAGGATTAATAAAAATTTATAAAAATATATATAATTCTCTCGCGCGACGTTTACGTCATATAAAAATTGTTTGCTCTGAATTAAATAAAATAATAAAACGCCGGGTTACAAAATACCGGGTTAATCTACTTTCGTTGATAAGAATTTTACATGAAGCTTTTATAAATTGTAATATGTATTTGCGCATTTGCGAATTTAAAATAACTGCGAATTATCGTTGCATTCCCTGCCCAGCTATAGTATCTATTGACTGTTCTACGAAGAATAAACGGAGAAAAAGAGAGAAAAAGAGAGATTTTTCTGCCAAAGATATAGATGCTGATGGCAAATTATAATATCGTTCTA